CTCACCCTCTTTTTCTGAGTTGTTCCTCCCCCATTAACATAAACTCACTTCCCCCTAAAGTTACTATGTAATCTTTCAAGTCGCTGTGGTCACTTTGATCCTGTGTAGATAGTTCTTAAAAGAGCATAATGCTCAAGGCAGACATTTTTAATTAGTTAAGCTAAACTATTGTTTTGTTTTAAGAAGACTTCAGGGGATATTTTTCTTTTAAAGATTATGTTAGAGCAATAGTTTCAGGGGTTCATCCAGTCTCTATGGCTCCAGAGAGTCTGGAGTCCATGAGAATTTGAGCATTTTCCCCTCTTTGATCAGGATTCTTCTATAGAATCTTTGATCAAAATGTTTAGTAATGGTAGCTGGGTACCATCCAGTTCTTCTGGTTTCATGGCAAAGGAGGCTGTTGTTCATGGAGGCAATCAGCCACATATTCCATATCCTCCTCCTATTCCTGACTGTCCATCCTCTGTTGCTCCAGGTGAATAGAGACGAATTGTTGTGCGTTGGATGGGTGCTTGCAAGCTTTTAAAACCCCAGGCACTATGCAACAAACTAGGAGGTAGAACAGAAGCACTAAACGTGTTATTAGGCCAATTAACTGGGATATCCCATGAAACCATGACCCTAAACCTCCAAACCAAGGAACCAAATCCAATGAGATTTTGGTTGTACCTAAGCAGCCTCAGCAGCTACTTTTTTTTTGTCACTGTTGTAAATATATCTTTCACACAACTTTTGCCAGTTTAACTTTTTACAGGTGTACAACTTATTTACAGCAATTACAATAATCAGCTGTGCAACCCTACCTTTAATCAATTTGATTTTTCCATCTCTGTCAATCTCTCCCCTTTCCTCCTCTGTACTGAACCTGGTAACCACTAATAAACTTTGCTCTCTATACATTTTCCTTTTCTTGTCTTTTTATATAACTGAGGTCATACAGCATTTGTCCTTTTGAGACTGACTTATTTCACTCAACATAATGTCTTCAAGCTCCATCCGTATTGTAGCATGTATGAAGACTTTGTTTTTTATCAACTGGCTGAGTAGTATTCCATTGTATGTATGTACCACATTTTGTTTATCCATTCATCTGTTGATGGGCATTTAGGTTGTTTTCACCTTTTGACTATTGTGAATAGGCTGCAGTGAACATTGGTATACAAGGCCGTATTTGAGTTTCTGCTTTCAAGTCTTTTGGGTATATACCTAGGAGTGGAATTGCTGGGTCATATGGTAGTTCTATTTTTAGTTTTTTGAGGAACTGACACACTGCTTTCCACAATGGCTGTACCATTTTGCATTCCCACCAGCAATGGATAAGGGTTCCAGATTCCTCACATCCTGGCCGACATTTGTTATTTTCCGGTTTTTTTAATCAATGCCATTCTAATGGAGGGGAGGTGGTATCTCATTGTGGTTTTAATTTGCATTACTGTGATAGCTAATGACGTTGAATGTCTTTTCATTTGCATTTTGGCCATTTGGATATCCTCTTTGGTGAAATGTTTTTTCAAGTCCTATGCCAATTTTTTGATTGGGTTGTTTGTCTTTTTGTTAAGTTGTAGAAGTATTTTATGTATTATAGATGTTAGACTCTTATCAGATATGTTTCCCAAATTTTTTTTCTCAGTCTATAGGTTGTCTTTTCATTTTTGTGATAAAGTCCTTTGATGAATAAAAGTATTTAATTTTTATGAGGTCCCATTTATCTATTTCATCTTTTGCTGCTTATGCTTTTATTGTCATGTCTGATAGTCCATTGCTAAAAACTAGGTTCCACAGCCTCACCTCTACATTTTTCTTCTAAGAATTGTGTGGTTTTAGTTTTCACATTTAGGTCCTTGATCCATTTTGAATTGTTTTTTGTGTATGGTGTGAGGCTTGGATCCCGATTCATTCTTCTGCATGTGGAGGAAATTAAATTTTCCCAGGGCCATTTATTGAAGTGAATCTTCCTTTCCCGTTGAGTGGGCTTAATACCCTTGTCAAAATCAGTAGACCATAGATGTGTGCACTGTAGTTTCTCAAGTAGGAGAGTGAACCGGTTTTTAGGAAGGGTAATGAGGCAGTCGTGTGCAAAGATTCCAGTTGGGAGACTGGAAATAAGTCCAGCAGTGCTTCAAGCAGGAGTTGTGGAGGGCCTGGATTAGTTAGATTTATGGGAATGGAGAGAATGTCATAACTGAGAGATGTTAAAAAAGAATCAACAGGCTTTGAAGATTCATTGAATCTGGGAAACAAAGAGAGGGGACTGAGTGTTTCTCAGTGGTTTCACTGAGAGAAATAAGCAAGCTCTTGGGGAGAGTCAGTTTGATGAGGAACAATTTCAGAAGGTATTTGGATGTGGGTGACATGAGTTCTTGAAAGTAATAGAGGCTAGGGATTTCTGCGGAGAGGTCATTGAAGCTGAGGAAAGAGGCATGGCATGAGAAAGGTCTGTGTACTAAATCTGCTGTGGGGGTGCAACAAATACGTGGTGGTGATGGTGGAAGGAGAACTTCCCAGAAGGAAAAAGTCTGTGGTCTCAGATGTTGTAAAGTGAAAAGTGTGAGGCCGGGTGAAAATACCTTTGAATTTGTCCAAGAGACACTGGTTTTATGCTGCTTCCAGTGGTCTTGGGTATGGAGGCATTACTGCAGAAAGCCAGGAGAAATAAGATGATGAGGACATGGAAAGGCAGTGGAAGTAGCACATATATTTCAATTGTTTGGAAGTGAAGGGAATGAGATAATAGGTTAATATTTAGTGGAATTGATAAATGAAGGTTATTCAAGTCAGAAGAGATCTGACCTTCTAAGAGGGCAGGAAAAAAGAAGCTGGGAATAAGGAAGAGATTGAAGGTGCTAGAAAGATTTCCATATGACTGATCCTGTGGAGGGCCTTGTAAATGAGCTATATTGCTACATCTGAGTGGCTGGAGCTTCCTTTGTGGGAAGTGTTATTTGCCCCTAATAAAGAGGCCTAGGAAATCTTTTACTCATGTAATATCTTCTCTTCCAGAGGAAGGTAGGCAGTTCCTTCCAGGCAAGGTAGAGCTGTGGCCTGTTACTTTCAGATCTACTCACTTTGTTAGCAGGTATGCAAATGAATTTAGCCAAATTCTCTGGTAACTAGAGCAAATGTCTTCAGACTTAGAATTATGCTTACTCTGATTCCCCACTGAGAAATTTCCACCTTCCTTCTTCTGCCTGTAAAGTATCAACTGTGAGGCACCATGTTCCTTCTGATATATATATTATATATATATAATTTGTATTATAAATATAGAGCAAATCAATTTTAAAAGTAATTCAGAAGTGGCCTTAGCCATGGAAAATTAAATAATACAGCATAGAGAAGATTAGGGGAAGTATACAGCATGGTATCAGGGCTGGAAAACTCTGAAAGAGGTACCTAAGTACAGAGAACTCCCAACTAATCCTCTAAGAGGAAGTCCCTTAGGCAAAGCATGAAATAAGGTAGTCAATATCAAATAAAATATTTCTTCTAACAGCCTCAAAGAAATTCCATCTGTGTAGAAGAAGGCTGGGTGGGAAGTACATTTTCCTCTCCTTCGCCCTTCCTCCCTTTTTATCCTAAGGCACAGTGGGACTCATAGACCCCATGGGAGAAAATATAAATTTCAGAGGCTGTTTAAGAAGCCCAGGGTTGTGTCCTCATCTTCCCCTCATTTCCTAATACCCTCTCACAGTCTTTGTCCCCAAGGGGCATCCGCACCAGTGCAGCTTTTTAGGTTGTACACAGTGCCAACTTCATGAGTGACAGTGTTCCTTTTAGGGGGCTCCCACTTCTCAGGAACCAAACACACCTTGGCAGAAGCCAAGGTTTCCTGAGAAAGAGCGAGGGGGCAGAGACACAATGGAAGGTGGGGTACACAGGCAGAAACCTGGCACAGAATGGTAGTTGGAGATTGGTCTGAGATGCTTAGAAACTGAGTTAGATCCATTTCTAGACATGAACGAGGAAAGCCTCTCCTTGCTATTTTCTATTTGGAGCCCTAATAAACAAGCCTGGAGGAGCACCTGGCCAAGGGAACCTGAGGGATTTTGGTGGCTTCTTTCACCAAAGTCACATTGGCGTATATAGGCAAAGTGCATAAAAATAACCTCTTTTAGAGAAATAATAAGCAGTTACAAAAATTACAATGGCAGAATGTCTCAGAGAAAAAGTGAATATCCAACACCATCAAATTTTCATTCTTTAACAATAATCTAAATAATTCTCTGAAGAGTAGTTCTCTTATTCCTTTCCCAAGTTTCCAGCAGATTGTCCCTATTACAACTGTCTCCCTCCTAAAGCTATAGCCCTCCCTCTGTGGGCATTTCCTTATATAAAGTCCATAAAGATTTTAAAAGGTACATGCATTTTTGCATTTTCTGTTAGGAATTGCCTGTAGATCTTGGCAAATAGTTTTTCTAGTTGCTTCTAGTGAGTTCTCTTGAGACAGACTTGCCAAAGATTTAGTTGGTATCCTTACTAAACAGCAAAGTGCTCAGACCCTGATCCTACAAGTAGACAACCCTGAGTGGACAGAGGTGTAGAACTTCCCAGTTCAGTCTTGGTTATATATTTGGTTTTCACACTGGGCTTTGGAGAGACAGGAGAAGCTTTTGCTGCTTTTACTTTTTCTCTCCTTTTCTGGCACATTTCTCTTGAGGTTATGGCAGACTCAAGTTAGACTCTGATGGGACAGGACTCAGGTGGGAAGGGAGTGAGTGTACTCTGAAGAGGTAAGTTTTAAAAAGTCTAGTCCGGGGGGATGGGGAGGTTCTAGCAACTCTCCCCCAATGTTGTCTTTGCCAAATTTCAATGACGTCTATTGACACTGAAGGGAGGGGCTGTGACCAGGTGGCCTGGAGGTACAGCATCAGGGAGTGAAGTAGTGGGGGTGGAGGCTTCTTTCCTTTTCCCCTGAGGGTAAAGGAATCCCCTAGTGATGGGGATGACAGGGGCTTGGAATAAATACTTCGGCAGTGCAGCGAGCCGGACAGGTTGCATTACTTCCTTTTTATTTCTGAATAGATTGTTTCTGTGGCTGTTTGGGATGGGAATGCTGAAGTCGGTTTCTTTGGTAGCTGGGCATTGAAGTTCAGGGAAGAATATGCAACTTCATTGTCCTGAAAAGCATGAGTAACAATTAAATCAGTGTTCAGGGTCATGCCCTCACCTGGGCTAGTGTGTTTCAGCACCACTTACTATCACCATTTTGGAACTTTTAGCTTTGGAGAAGGGCTATTGTGACCCATTATCTCTGCTTGGTAAACTCCTGTTGAATGGTCATTAGAAGAGATACATCATAGTATTCATACAATGAGCGACAATACAGACACCCACAACAATGTGAATGAACTCACATAACATTGAACGAAAATAAGCAGAACATATATATAAGGATATACAGTATTTTTCCTTTATATGAGAGCAAGACCAGCAAAACTAAAGCATTGGAAGTCAGGATGGTGGCTACTCTTGGGTGGGAAATGACTGGAAGGGTTTTTTTTGGGGTAAGTGCTGCTTACATGAGTGTGTTCATTTTGTAAAAGGTCATACACTGTGAAAGTATACTTACGTTTTAAGCACTTTTCAGTATATATGTGCACTCTATGAAAACATTAAAATGAGAAAAACTCTGTTAAATTATTGTAAAGGAACTAGGACCTCAGAATGTCCTTTATGGTGGGAATTATCCTTTTGAAAGTAAGAGCAGGGTCAGATGGAAGGTAGAGGAGGGAGAATTATTTAGTGCCTTGTTTGTGCTGGGTGATTGACATATGTTATTGAATCCCTTCAACTTCCCTTTAAGGAAAGCAGAAAACTCACTTTACAGATGACAAAGCTGAGAGTCAAAGAGGTTAAGTTAGTTGTCCAAAGTCACAGAGCGACTAAGAGTCACAGCCAGGATTCAATCACAAGGTGGGGATAATTCCAAAATCCAACTTCTTGTTCTGAGGTAGACTCATGGGAGTAATTAACCAATACCTCTTTGTTTCTACATTGAGGAACTTTAACCCAAACTTAATCTCATATTTGTGTTTTCCAGAATAACTCATTCTAGAGTTTTTGCTTAGGAGGAATTGAGTTTATGTAAATGGTGGTGGAATGATTTGGAAAAGGATAGGGAGAATGGTTGTACAACTTCAAGAGTATAATCAATGTCACTGAATTGTACATGCACAAATTGTTGCGTTGGTGTATGTTTTGTTGTGTATATTTTCACCACACACACACACACACCCAGAATAACTCATTTCATACAGAAATATTTCCATGAGAAAATGAGTCAATGAAACTGGCTATGCTTACCGTGTCAGAATGGTCCTGACCTGGGGAAGCAAAAGAAGAGTTTCAGATCCATGAAAATGCAAAGCTGACTTCAGCCTTAGAACAACAGTGTTCCTAGGCGGTTGTGATTTCTAGTTGAAGGAGGGGGCAGGTGGTGATGGTAATAATGAGTGTGGGTAGCCCATGATCAGCTAAGAAATTCTGCTTTCTCAGAGTCTGTGGTCCAGCAGCATTAGTGCCAGAGGAGGGCCAGAAATAGAGCCACAGGAGGCCTAGGTCCACTTAAGAAGATTCATGCTAGTTCACAGGCCATGATTTTTGCCCAGATACATTCTCAGCAATAGGATCCAGTGGCACGGAGGGGCAGTGAGACCCACAGCACCCAGAGCACCCAGAAGTCAGGGAAAAGTCTCACCAGGGAGAACGCCCACATCTATAACAGAGGCAGGAGGGGCAGGAGTAAGGATGAGGAAATGGCTCCTAGAAACATGTCCGTATTACTCAGGCCTGCTTGGCCTAGGCAGAGCAAGCATTGCTCCTGGGGCTGTGTCTCAGGGGAACCTTTGGAGGTGAGGAAGGGTGTGAAGAACTATTCCAACTTAAGGTTGGGAACAGAGATCCCTCTGTAAAAATTCATAAGGCAGGGAGTGGTTTGGGAATCCAGGATTCTCTGCTAGGGCAGGGCATGTGGTGGATCTCACCAGCTCTCACTGGGTGAGTGGCTTTACTTACTGTGGTTGGATGCTGAGGGTTTGTGCTCTGTGTTATCACGCTGGTTGCTTGCCCTAAATAAATATCAGACACTGTGACTGCTATTCCCAACATAGGAACGTTGCTTCCTGAAATTGGAAGGACACTTTCAGCAGACAACTCCTGAATGTCCATTCACACCACGGATGGTACTACTTTTCCTTCAGGGCCTTATTTTTTCAATCTAACCACTAGCCCTTCTAGTGTTGACTCCTTTCCACTTGCTAAATGTGCACATTTGTTGTTGTTATTTGCCATTGAGTCAATTTAGGGCTCACAGAGACCCCATGTGACAGAGTAGAGGTGCCCCATAGGGTTTTCTAGGCTGTAATCTTTATGGGAGCAAATCTTCAGGTCCTTCTCCCGCAGAGTCACTGTGTGGGTTCTAACTGCCAACCTTTCAGTTAGCAGCCTAGTGCTTTAACAGGGCTCCTTAGATGTGCACATTTAGTTCCATTCTTTATCACCTGCTTCTGAGCCTACTCCTACCCTAAGACCTTTCCCCTTTTGTTTTCCCAAGGAGCAGATACTGTTTTTTTCCTCACTTTATTTATTGTCAAGGGGCCTTTTGGTTGTGTCTGCTTCTCTTAGATTCAGTTCCTGTCCTGTCCCTCTCTCCTCTGCTACTGTGGTCACCAGAGCACCTGGCTAGCTTTCTTCTGCTGCTGCTTTCATTTTCTCATTTGTTTTCCCTTTGGACTGTGGCTTCCCTGACTGGGGAACAGAAGAACATAATTGAGGGTTCCCCCTCTAAATGCAGATGGGGATGGGAATATCCATGTCCAAGAGACAGTGGGGTACAGGGAGCGTGAAGACCAGGGAAGCAGAGACCCACAGACATTAGTGCTGAGAAGCAGGAATTTAGGAAGGAGGAAGAGGAGGCCCAGGCACAGAGACAGAGATGGAGAAGAGTTCTTTCCCTTTCTAAGCATGGCAGTTAGCCTTGGAGGAAGCAGAATACGAGGAAAGGCATCATACCCGCCAGTGTTTCTGATACACAGAAAGTACACCAGGGCTGCTGTCAGAGCCACCCCGGCCAGTGCTCCAGCCATGATGCCGGCAATGGCCCCACCTGAGAGGCCAGAACTTTCTGGAGCGGGATCATAATCTGTCATGGGAAGAGAAAAGAAAGAAAGAAAGAAAATTATTTTAATTTGGGGTGCCCTGTGAAGCAACTCTCACCATGAAGTAGTTTCTAGTCATTCCATCAAGGAATGGTTTTCATAGAAGGGTCACTGTGAGGCAATTGGCAGACCGTACGTATCCTTGCAATTTTTTCTCTCTCGCTGCTTTGTTTCTAGGTTGATGATCCATCTTGTCTCCATTCCATCCTGGCCTTTCTGCACTCAGATGTTTTTGAGGCTTTGGAAACCTGAGAAAGGCTGACGGCTATCTTTGGGTTATTAGAACTTCCCTCTTGACTTCCCACCTTTTTGTGGTTACATCTTGTTCTCAGTTTCCCACCTATGGCGGCCATGAGTACTTACCTCTCAGATCTCCTGTGGTGGGGACTTAATTGACTGAAGATGCAGACTGATGAACTGTGAATTCACCACCTTGTTTATGCAGAGACCTTGCTTCCCACAGGCTCTGACAGGGGTACTAAAGCAGGCCCGTTTCTGGGAGACAGTTTCCTCTGATAGGTGACTGGTTCGAGGACTACCCATCGGCCTCGTGGAAATGCTTTTAGAATTACACTGCAAACTAAAACTTCCTTCTCTCCCTTTCTCCTTTCCAGGGATCAGATCTGCATGTTGATTACTGGGACTCTCCCAGGCTCCTCCGACTCCTGCCCCATTTCCCTCACAGGCATTTTCCATAGTAAAGGTCTTGCTTGTCTAATGGCAGGAAAACTCACACACCAGATTTAAATTTTGCACTTAATACTTTTGTGTGTGTGTGTGTTTAAATTTCCTTTAATAGTATTATCCTTCAATTAAATTTCCAATGTTGATATTGAGTGTACAATAATTTATCTATCTACAAGAGGCACCATTTAGTCATTATAATTTCCACATATCTTATTCCAGACTTCATGTAAATTCATTTTGAATTATAGAAGTTTTTTACTATTTAAAAGAATCAATAATTATAGAATAAAGTGACTGGCACAGAAGGGCCATTCAGTAAGTATTTTTAAATGCTTTATTCAAGAAAGCTTTTTTAGGTTTTATTAGCAGATGCTTTCAGAACCAAATGTCAGTCACTCCTATCTGTTTTCCCAGGTCTTTAGGCATTATCACAAATGGCACAAATGACTAAGCGCTAAGCTACTAACCCGAAGGTTGGCCACCTTGGAAGAAAGGCCTGGCAATCTACTTCTGAAAGACTGCGCTTAACTTTCAGCCCCTTTTTTCCCTCCCATATTTATTTAGTCAGTAATCATGTCCCAGTGGATTTCTGTGTGGTGCATTTTTCCCATATAGAATACTTTTTGCATCTATTTTGTACTTTTTTCTGTTGTAACCATTTGGGGCTTAGCTCTCACCAGTCAACTCAAGGCTGACTGTTAATGTTAATGTTAGCTACTGGTTAGAGCCCTGGTGGCGCAGTGGTTAAGAACTCGGCTGCTAACTACTAATTTTTTTTTCCTCTGGCAATGTTTTTTTTGGCTGCTAACTAAAAGGTCTGCGGTTCAAATCCACCAGTTGCTCCTTGGAAACCCTATGGGGTGATTCTACTCTGTCCTACAGGGTCGCTATGAGTCGGAATCAACTCAACGGCAATGGGTTTATGTGCCAGCCCATGTGCTAAATACTATACATGTATCTCATTTGATCCTTACAATCATCCTGTCACACAGACATTATTCCCATTTTACAGATGAAAAAACTGAGGCTTAGAGTGGTGAAAAAACTTACCCAAAGTCTTATAGCTAATAAGTGGTGGATCTGGGATTTGACTTCAGGACTACTGACTTCAAGCCTAATGATAATAATAGTAATAACAACAGCTAACAATTATGGAACGTTTTCTACGTGTGTGGTATTTTGCTAAGGGTTTAGTCAATTATCACATCAGACCTTTAAACAATCTTGTGAAGCAAGCATTCTTATTGCAATTTTCAGTTGCGGAATTGTGGCTCAGAGAAATTAAGAACCTTGTGCAAGTTCACACAGTGGATATCAGACCTGGGATATGACACTTATAACCATCTTTGTTTCAGAGCCTGAGCTCTTGACCACTTTACCATTGTTACTCTAATTGTCTCTTAACTGATATTCTGCCCCCTGTGACATTTATCCATTTTGCATACCATTGGTAGGGATCATCTAACCAGAGAAGATGTAGGAGTGGATGAGGGGTCACTCACATTTCACAGTCAGGTTGAGGGGATCACTTGTGCTGGAACTGACCAGATTGTAGACCTTACACAGGTATACTCCAGCATCTTCCCTCTTAACGGTGCCTATGGTGAGGGAACTGTTGTCCTGGGACAGCGTCATCCTGTCTGTGAGCCGCAGAATCTGCCCGTGGAAGACCCACTGGATGGAGATTCCAGTGTGGTTGGTGAGGCAGGTGAGGATCACAGGGCCCTCATGTTCTCTGACTGTGGTGTTGCTGGCTTGGATGGAGGGCTTTGTCACTGACTCTGTGCAGAAACAGAGGAGGTGAGTGTGAGAGCGGGCCTGGTACTGGAGCTACTCCGCTTCCTGTGATATCTCCACCAGCTTACAGGGTCCACGGTGAGCTCTGAAAGGTGACCCAGAGGGTGGTCCTGACCCTCTGCAGAGGTCGTGTGTCTGTCCAGGTGCTGATCTGTGAGGACAGGATGACCCCTCCCCTCACTAGGAAATAGGTGCAGCCCCCCGACTGTGAATATCTGCACCGGGACCTCTTCCCAGCCGACGTGTCCATCCACCTCGTCATTAGGTGGAATTTACTTCTCCAGACATTTGTGTGACCCTTTCCTAGGGCCTCCTGTGACTGTGTAAGAGACCAGGCCCCTCTCTAGTAGACAGTTCTGTGTGTGTGCGGAAGGCAGGCTTCTGGCCCGGTCTATCTCTGGGGCAGGGTGGCTTCACATATGGCAGGGAAGGTGTTTCCTTTTTGTTAAATAATATATTAGGGAGTAAGCACAGCCCGGCTGTCTTCACTATTTTAGAAACGAGAAAGTTTCCAATCTAAAGGATTTCTCAATCTGAAAAAGCTTTTGCTTCCAGTCTATGGATTGAATATCAGATGAAGGAAACGTTAGAGGGAAATGGTTATGGTTTTAACAAAGGCTGGTACCATTAGCCCACTCTGTAAACTACAGCGAAACCTGTGAGAGCCGGAACTCCACAGGACTGCTGTGCTTTTCTGGGTCTTGGCAGTTTCCCGCCTTTGACAGGGTGCAGTCTCACCACTTTTCTTTTGTTCTCTATTGGTGGAAAATATTTGAATTTTCCTTCTCTGACAGGTTTCTGCCTTACACAAGTTCCTTGTTTCTCGGGTTTTATTGAACATAACTTGTCCTTGCCCCTTCCCTCCCATGAAGAGACTTCATGGTTGAATCTACCTAGTTTTCTAAGTAGGATTCATGACGCATTGTTCTCCTTTGTGTATCATCTGTCCAGTGTCACACAGTGTGTATAGCTGTGACTTTAGAGCCAGGTCACAGGCTTAGATGCTTCTGCCTCGAAGCCGGCACTTTCCCCTGCAGCCTGATCTGGCGTGGCTCTGGTGTCCGTGGGCTGCATGTTTTAGCAAGATTAGGACACAGCACACCTGAACCTGCTCCACACTCCCTGCTCCGACCACAGATGGTGTCAGAACAGGGCTGGTGCATGAGGCTGCAGGGGACAGAGCAGAGAGGCAGAGCTCCATCTTGCCACCAGCTAATTGGAGGATGTTTCATCCTCTCATTTGGGAAAACATGTGAGCCTGTTCAAAGTCTTGTGCGTTCCTTGTAGCACATGGAGTCAGTGAAAGAAAACAGATGAAAGAAAGTGACAAGTTAGTACAGAGAGAACACTTGACCTTGAGGACACTTCTTTCCTCCCCTACTCTGAAGCCCCCTCCCATTCCACGGGGGTTTCTGGGGCTGAGAGAGCCCCATCCCCACATTCTAGGCTGGACCCAAGGTCTACCCTGAGAGATATGAAGAGCAAGAGGAGGGATGTAGTGGGAGGGCTCAGGGACAGATTTGGGGATTTTTTGTGACCTGGGGACACAGACTAGAAAATAACTTCTTTTAGGATTTTTTCGGAAAACCAAACTGACCTCCAGCCCAGAGCTCAGTGCTGAAGCTCCAGGGAGACACTTACCAGAGACTGTGATAGTCTTGACTGTGGTTCTGCTGAGGCCAGTGGCATTGCTATGGACATGGCAGGTATAGTTTCCACCATCACTCACAGTGACGTTGGGGATAAAGAGCACTTGTGCGGATTGCAAGTAGTTTCCATTGATGAGCCAAAAATACTGTGCAGGTGGGTTGGAGATCGCGTTGCAGGAGAGAGTGAGGTTGGCCCCTGGAGGGTAATGCCAGTCTGAGGGGGAAATGGTGGGGGTGTCCGGGCCATCTGGAGCAAACAGAATAAAGCCATATTATGATATAACCAGAAGGAAGGGGAAGCTCCTGGACTGATAAGGGCCACAGCTTCCCTCTGAGCCTTGTTTTAAAAAGTCCTACACAATAACCCCGACTTCTCTAAGCCTGATCTGAGACCATCAACCTGTTTCTCCCATTCCAGGTGTTGACCCCGAGCATCTCAACACATGAGCAATCCCTCCCCTCCTGGTCTGGCGGCATGGCTGGGCCTGCCCAGATTTGCCTGGGAAAGGACGTCATGGCCAGCCTGGGTATCCAGGGGCTGAGGGTCAGTGTACTTGGACCTAGAGGACTGATGTGGCCTGGCTCTGACAGTGTGGATTTGGGCTGACAGCCTGTGCCATGTGGGAGCAGAAGTTACTCACAGAGAACATTCAGGATGAACGGGTCACTGCGGCGGGCATTCACTGGGTTCCTGGTTTCACACTCATAGGGTCCTGTGTCATTCCTCGTGACATTGTGTATAGTGAGAGTCCTGTTGTCTGTGGACAGCTCTAGCCTGGCCCTGTCTGGGAGGCTCTGATTGTTTATCAACCACTGGTAGGTTGTGTTCTGAGTCTCAGGGTCACAAGTTAATGTCACGGAGTCCTGGTCCTCCACGGGGTTGGAGCTGTTGCTGGTGATAAAAGGTTTGGGTAACTCCGCTGTCAGATAAGAGAGAAGATTATCCCATTTAGTATCTTTGATTCCTGCAAAGGCATCTTTCAATCAGAGTTGGCATTGCATACCTCTCAGCCATCCTGGAGTCTTTAAAATATAAAGCAAAGGCTGCCTGACAATTAAGTGCTCAGAGAATGTAAGACCTACCTGCCTTATTCTATCTCTGGGAAAAAGCACAGACTTTCTCATATGTTAATTAAGTACCAGCATTTGGTCATGGAAAGTCACAGGACTAGGGATCAGAGATCACCCAAGTTCTCTCCTGGACTCTTCCCTGACCAGCTGACTGCCTGCCTGATCTTAGTTTCCTCACCTGGAACTTGTGCTTGCTGAGGCCCCTCCAGCTGCACAGTTCTGCATTTCCCAGATCGGATGTGTTTTCTCTGAAACACAACTTTTTGTTCAAAGTTATCCTAGATGTGGGTAATGATGGGACTTCTAATTGTCCTTATATCTGAGGATATGGGGCAGCCTGGCCTGGAGACTGGGTGTCATGAACAGAAATTACACTCAGGAAGAGGAGTAGCAAGTCCAGTGGTCAGGCCGTGGGGCCACAAGGTGGGGGGCAGTTCTTTCCGGTAATTGATGGTGACTGACAAGATGCCATGGCCCCATAAATGACAGAGCCAAGTCCAAGGAATGATCTAGAAAAGAATGAGGGAACAGACAGGAGCTGGCTGGGTTTGGAAACAGAACCATGTTCTCTCCTTGGTCTTTAGTGTCCCTTTTCCCATGGCTGAAGGCAGGTGAGGACCATGTTTATCTTTCCTGAAATACCTGTCAATGGTTTCAGATTCAGAGGGGTTACTGGTGGAAAGCAGGGAGAGCGTTAACTTGCTAAGGGTCTGGCCTTATGGACCATTTGTGTTTAGTGGATATGGATATAAATTTGATTAAATGTTCAAATTTCTTTCATATGTGAAAATTATTATTAATAGCCCAAAGATTCTGAGGCCAATTGTCTGAAGGAATATTTCTCTAGAGAACACTAGAAGATCTTAGGGCAAACTCTGAAGTCCAGCAAGGATCACATTATGATCAAAGTAAGATGCTGAAGAATGTTTGAAATCAGAGACTCCCTGGGTGGGGAGAGACAGCTGATCTTGCTAAGGGGACAGAATTCATCAGAGGGAATTCTAAAGTGTCTCAATATAAAAAGAGGAAACATCACATTAGTAGGAATTATGTGTTCTGTTAGTCAATGTAGACAAGAGGTCCCTGCCACTGATTCCTCATGGAGAGTTGGGCACAATGGGGAGGAGTCTCAACAGAGACCTGTAGAATGCTTCCTTTCTTTTCTTTAGACCTCACAAGTGATGCCATCAAAATAACTACAACACAACAAAAACAACAATAAAAACAACTACAATTTGATCAAACCGACTAGCTGACTGCCTGACCAACCTCGGTTTCCTCATCTGGAACCTACACTTGCTGAGGTCCCTCCAGCTGTACAATTCTATGTTGCCCAGCCCGGTTGTATTTTCTCTGAGGCCTCTCTTTTCAAGGATTTCCTGGAGATAGTTAAGGATGGGACTTCTCATTGTCCTTAAACCTAAGGAGATGGGGTAGCCTGGCCTGGGGACAGGTTGTCATGAGCAGAATAACACTCAGGGAGACCAGGTACAAGCTTATTCAGCCACAGTGATAGTAACTGAAGCAACAGTGGCTCATGCATCTCCCATCTGAGAGGACCCCATGTCATGACCATGGTGCTGTGATGAGGAACACACATTCCTGTGGAATAGAGAGTAAACCTAGTTAACAGCACATGGTCTGGAAGCTCCTACCCGGAGAAAGGTCTCAGGACCACTATGGGATTGTGAGCCTCACACCAAGGACAAGGACGTGAGTAATGGTTAAAATGGGTAAAACGTGCCTCTATGCTTTAAGGACTGCAGACCCATTCCTTCTGCCTTTCACTCCTGGTGGGATCAGTGCAGAGAGTGAATCAAGGAGGTGCACGTCCATCCTGCATGGTCTGTCCCATGTGTTGGTATCTCTGAGGGGAAGAGCCCTGGACAGGGACACAGTGGAAGCTTGTTCTCCTGGGGACTTGGGTACATTGGCTGGTGGTGGAGTCCTTGCAGGGGCTGCTGCTTAGACTGATTTCTTTGTCCTTTACTGCTTCCTGAGAAGGGTGAGGCTGGCCACAGTGCTTGTGGAAGAGGACAGGACAGTCAATATCTGGGGAGGGTTAAGTGTTGGAGGAAGCTGTGAAGAGCAGGGTAGTCCCAGCTGGAATGAAGTAGCAGGAAGATAAGGGACATGGAAGGAGCAGAGCCAGAAATGCCTATGACAGGGAGCAGTGGGAGTTCATGAGTTCACAGACCTGAAGATCCAAGAACCCCCATGTGACCCAGAAGCACGACCAGCGGATCCTGAAACCCTCTCCTCTGAGCAGCACCAGAGGCATCATGAGACCTGACTCCCAGGGTAGCTTTAGGATCAGGCAGTCAGAGGGAGGGAACATGGGTCTCAGTCATCTGGAGGGCCAGGAGGCCACAGTGGCTGAAAGTCCTGGGAACCTGCAAGCAGGGTCCAGTCTCTGAAGAGATTATGGATCATTCGTTCATTCCCTTACCGTTCCTTCCTTCCATTCTTTATCAAAGAGTAATTGAGAGTTTGTTACATGTTGGGTCTGTGCCAGTTGCAGGGTGTGCAGTGGGAAGGGAGACGGTAAAGTCCTTCATGCTCCAGTGGGAGAGACACACAGCACATCAATAAACAAACATAAATGATTTCACCCCAGTACAGGGAGCACGTGGATTGGCTGTCTGGGGGCAGAAGCCTGGACATGCCTGGCACTGACTGATTGTTGGTGAAAGTAATTTCATTCTAGAGTAAAACTGGATTAGTAATTCATTTGCTGTGACAAGCCCCTCCCCTAGCAAAATAACTCTCTTTGAACTAGGGACGTCTAAGAAGAAAGGATCTAAATCAGTGGCTGCTCTCAGGGTCCACACCCTTAATAAGGCCACCCACGGTGGAGAAAAGGTCAGGGCTGTGGCTGCAGACAGACCTTGGTGTGACTCTGATCTGCCAATCATGGTCTGTGTGACCCTTATCAGTGACTTTTTTCTCCATGCCTCAGTTTCCCCTCAATAAAATCAGAGAAAGGATAAAGGGTATCTGGCCTGCAAGGTTGTCTGTGATTTAACCTGACAATATTCACAATTACCTGACCTAAAGCTGGGTACAGAGCTGCCCAAATAACCACATGAACAGCATCTATTATTGTTTACCTCAAGGAGAGGGCACCCTCAGGTGGGAAAGGAGCTGCCTGTAGCATCTTCTTCCCTTTCTTTCCTCCTAGGCAGTCAGCTACTGGCCTGGGGCACATTGCCGTGTGTGGTCTCCAAATTGAGTCTCAGGTGAAAGACTCAGCTGTCGAGAATAGCTCTTGGGGCTGAGCCCTGGCTGGTGACCAGCTCCAGGAGCTCCAGAACTCAGGCAGTCAGTAGATTGTTCCTCCCAGTCAGACCTGTCCTGGGGGCCGAGATCCAACCCTGGCTGCAGGCTCCCCAGGGTCACCTGGAGTCTGGAGGCCTGCGACAGGGCTTAGGAAAGGGACTTCCTGGTGCTGATCTGCTCTGTGAGGATCCCAGGAGCCCCTCAGGCCAGGACCTGACCTCCAGGGTCTTTTTCAGAACCATGTTCACAGAAGGAGCCCAGGAGGGATGGACTGAGTGATCTCCCGCTGCTGAGTTACTCCCCATCTGACTCTCCTTCTCTCCGCTGTGAATGTCTGCAGGGTCTGGATTCGGGAAGGGGATTCTGATCTAAAAGCTCAAAACCCAAGTGCGGAATGCAGAGGGAGGTATAGGCATTGCAAAGGGTCCAGGTCTGTCAATCCTTATATTTAAAGTAGAATTAACCCCCGCCCCCCAGATGTCAGAGAGGAACTACTTACGGTGTACACGGATCTGTCCAGCTAATACCTCATTGTCACCATTTGTCTTTGTTATTTGTAGTGTGTAGATTCCTGTGTCTTCCAGGGTGACATTCTGGAACAGCAGGGACCCGTTGGGGTATATTGTCTCCCGACCACTGTGGGCAGGCCCTGTAGCATTTGGTTGAGGAGCTCCTGTTCCATACGATGCAATTTTATTGTTGTTGTCTCTACTTTCCCCTTTGTACCAGATGTAGATTAAAGTATCTGTTGGCGGATTGAGGAGAAGTAGAAGAACATCATTTCCTTCAGCAGCACTGAACGGCACCGATTCAATGGTGAGTTGGGCTGTGATGGATGGGCTCCAGAAGATCAAAAGTGAGACTAGGAGGGAAGAGAGAGAAATCAGTCAGCATTTGGACAGTTGCATTGGGATGGAAAGTTGAGGCCCTTGTCTGAGCAGTTCTCTTTCAGCCCTTAGACTTGGGGTGTATGTCCTTCCCAAGGTTAGCATTACTTTAGCACCTTGGAAACTGTTATTTCCTCTTTTTCTAATACTTTCACCCCACCCCACCACAGGTGTCTGCATGGTTCACTCACTCACTCACTGCTCTCAGGCATCTGCTCACACTCAGTGGCGTCCTTGGGAGCTGCCTTCCCGACATATCATCTACAGACCTCTGTCTTCACTTTCTGACCTTTCCCTGCTCTGTGTCCTCCATGACCCTTATCAACACCTGACATCCCATGCAGGTCTATCTGCTTGTCTGTCTCCCTCTCCCCTAGATGGGAGCTCCATGAGGGCAGACTCTTGTCTTGTTGTGTTTTGCACCCCTAGTGCCTAGACAGGTCTGCAAATACCTGGGGGATGAATCAGTGAAGGTTCCTAGGTCCCCTCCAAGTCCTGGTGTTTATTTGCCCATTTCTGAGATTGGTAGGTATTTCACAATTGTTTGCCCCAAGCCCGTTGCCTTCAAGTCGATTCTGACTCATAGCAACCCTGTAGGACAGAGTAGAACAGCCCCACAGGGTTTCCAAGGAGCGACTGGTGGATTCCAACTGCCCCGACTTTTTGTTAGCACCTGAGCTCTTAAGCACTGTGCTAAGAGATAATTAATTTGGAAAACATGCAGCAATTGTGGTTTTACTTCCCCTTACCAATTCCAGTTCAGTGACACTTCCTGTTGCTGGGCCCTCCTCCCGCTTCTGTGTTCTCTCCACTGGAGCTGCACAGGGAGCTACCTGTCACCTCCCAGACACTTGTCCTCCCAGGAGACCCCAGCCAGTCTCTGTTCTCCCACCCTCCCTCATCCTAGCGAATCCTCCTCTCTCACCTGTGAGCAGAGACCCCAGCCAGTGGACTCGCCTTCTGTGGGGAGTGGCTGAGGGAGGCTCCATGGGTCTCTACTGCCTGCTCTGTGCTCCCTCTGTGGGGAAGAACCCTGGCTCCAGAAATATAAACGCTGTTTCCTCAGACTTGTCTACTCTGCTGTCCTTCCTCACTCTGCACTCACCCTCATTCTGGGGTGGAGCTTCCCCTGGTCATGTGGGCTGGGGGCAGGTTCTCCCCTAGATGGCCTCTCTCCTGCCTTCCTCTTTCATCCTGGGCCCTAAGTTACTTTCTTTTTCCTTTCTGTCTACGTTTAGGTTCCTTGAGAACTGCTGCTGCCTCTGCCTTCTCAGCCTTGATCCTCCTCCACCTCACCCCGATTGTCGATTGTCTCGATTGTCGGGGTAAGCACAACGCTAGGGGCCTCAGCCTATTGGGCTGGACGTTTCCCAGAATTCTGGGTCAGTGTGCACAGTCAGCTCTCCCCTGCAGTTCTCTTTCACCCCAGTTGGCTTTTTCCTTCTGAGCAGGAGCCTGGGGGCTATATCAGGAACTCTTGTCACAGGGATGCCACCTAGTTGTGCGTCAGAATCACCTGTTGGACTTTATGAAGCAGCCAGGTGTCCATTGATGCCTTAGAAACGCTGCTTCAGCAGCTGCACAGGTAATGCTGATGCCCAGAAAGGCTGAGAACCAGTGATCTGTGTGGTGAGGCGGGCTTCTCACCGTCTCCCATGCATATATAGAGTCTGAAGATCCTGTTAAATGCAGATTCTGACTCAATGGGTGTTAGGTGGATCTGAGAGTGCATCCGACAGGCTCTTAGGTGATGGTGATCATACTGGCCTGTGGAATACACTTTGAATAGCTAGGCTGCTGGGGACCTCTTGTTCCTGAGAGGACGACCCACCCACATCAGCCATGGCCTCTGCTGTTTCCTGGTCTTGGGTCTGTGAGCACCAGACAAGGAGCTCCTGGGGTCCTGTAACCCAGAAATGTTTTACTATGTGACACAGAAATCCACTGGGCACCCAGGTCTTTCCAGAGTTCTCAACTGCACTAACCTGTTGCCTTCGAATCAATTCCGACTCATAGCGAGCCTATAGGACAGAGTGGAACTGCCCCATAGGACTTCCAAGGAGTGGCTAGTGGATTCAGACTGCTGACCTTTTGGTTGTCAGCCAAGGTCTTAACCACTGTGCTACCAGGCTCCTCAACTGCACTAGGAAGATTGGCTTTACTTCCTACCAGAAGGTCAGAGATGGCTGAAAGGGTCAAGTTGAGTGATGATGGGTGAGAGGGACCAACCTTCTATCTCTGGTATCACCAGCCTGACCTCTGCTTCCAGGGACAGAGACACAGGATGTGGGCATCCACAGGGAGTTACAGTGCCTGGGGAGTGAAAGGGGAGGTTTCCTGAGTGTCCTGAGGAGAGAGTTCTGGTGGTGGGAGGTCAAGAGGCTGTGGGCTCCATGTCCTCAGGGAAATGTTTCAGGGAGACCCTCTCTCTCTGGGGTCTGTGTGGCGGAGCAGTGGCTTAAAGCCCATCAGTGTTCTCCCTGACCATCGTGGGCGGCCTCTGCTCTCTGTCCAGTTGACTTTCCTGTGGTTACCCTGTCTTTCCCCGTGGTTGAGCCCAAGCAAGGAGTGGGTTGCTGCAGAGAAACTTCCCACAGCACAGGTTCCCAGAGCCCCAGGAAGGAGGGGCAGGACAGAGCTGACACGTAGGAATTACCCAGAAGAGTCTGTTGGAGCAAAGGATGGAAATCAGGCTCCATCTCCACCTACTTAGCCAAAAGCCTGGTTCATGTCTCAGGGGAAATAATTTCTGTTTCCTGTGTTATGTCGCCCTCTGGAGGGCTCGAGGAGACCTGCGGCCAATGTCTGATGCACCAAGGATGCTGTCTTGGCTCTAAAGGGTGTGACCTGGCCCTGACTCTGAGCAGACTGGGGATCTGACCTCCTGGCTGAGGGTTAGCCCCAGGTCCTGTTCACTGTGGGTCCCCAGGCTGTCCTGAATCCATCCGAGTGCAGGTGAGCCCAGGGAAAGGATGTGAGTTGTCCAGCATACCCCTGGTTGCAGTGTCAGTAGGACTGTCCTCCCAGGTTGATGTGCTGCCCAGGAGGAGCTCTCTGCCCCCAAGGTTTAAAAGAAAGGGCCCAGTGAGGTATCTGAGGCTGAGGGAGTGGGAAGTGGCCTGGGAGGCTGGTCCCCCACTGCCCCGTGTTTCCCTCCATCACAGCACTGGGGTGTTGCATCAAGGTCATCTGTGTCCTTGTCTGTTGTCCTCGGAAGTCCTCCCCATAGGTCCCAGGCACTGGAACAGCTCCCAGCTGAGAGTCAGGGATCCATGAGGTTCCTGGTAGGGGAGGGGAGGCCCACATGGGCCCTCAGCCCCTCTAAGATGAAAGCAAAGGCAGATCCTGTGCTATCCTGTCCTCATTCGACTTGGTGAGCTCCTCTCCCCTTGGGGCTGGTGAGATGATTCAGGGGACCAGAGGCAGATCTCCCCACATAGCAGGGACCCTCGAGGCTGGGGACTGGTGCTCTGACTCTTTTATGGTCAGGCTGGGCTCAGTTCCTCCTTGATGGTAACTTTCTTGGATCTCAGGTCTAAAGTTTTGTTCCAGGTCAGGTCTCTCTATGAGAAGAGGAAGGACAGAGGCTCCCATCCCAGGACTTCCTGGGTGACTTGATGTCACTCACAAGTAGAGATCGGGGTGTGTTTTCACTTATCGGGGAGCTAACTGAGTCTGACCTCTCACTGTTAGGAGCCTCCTGTCCTTCTGACACTGTGAGAGGTTTGGGCCCCATGTCCCTGGGACAGCAGCGGGCATTTGCTGGCTTCCTCCTCCGTGGATGCCAGTGCCCTGTGTCTACACGGAATGTGCTCCACCATCAGGTGTCAGCAGGTGAGGCGATGTGCTGTGTGGTTTGTCCTCCTCCATTTAACCAGTATTTATTGAGCATCTGTTATGTGTCGGGCACTGGGCTAGCTACTGGGATTCCACACCGTACAAGACAGACGTGTTTGGAACTAATGAGGTAATTATAATGGAGACAAGGGCTATGAAGTGCAAGTGTCTGGAGTATCTGAGCTGGTCTGGGATCACAGAGAGCTCCCCTGGGAAGTGATCTTCTGGCTGAGCCCCGAGCATGTGTGGACGTTATGAAGTGAAGGGCAGAGAGTGTGGAGGAGAGGAGGCTGGTGCAGAGGGAATGGCCTTCAGGTGGGAGAAAGTGGCTGGATGGAGGAGCTGACAGAGTCCAGTGTGTGTGTGTGGGTACTCGACAGTGAGGAGGACGGTGGACTGAGGTGACGCTGGTGAGGCTCCGACCCAGCTAGGCTGTGGGTGATGCTGAGGCGTCAGCAGCCCTTTTTGTTGGTGGGTTGTGCGGAGCGCCGGTCTACGGAGTGGCTCTGCTGCCCTCTGGTGGACAGTTAGAAAAGTGTAGAAGGAAAAGCTATTGTGCCAAGTAGGATTTTTTTAAATTGTTGTGCTTTAAGTGAAAGTTTACAATTCAAGTTAGTCTCTCATACAGAAATTTATTCATACACTGTTATGTGACCCTAGTTGCTCTCCCTGTACTGTCACAGCACACTCCTCCTTTCCACCCCAGATTTCCCGTGTCCATTCAACCAGCTCCTGACCCTCTCTAACTTTACAGCTCGCATCCAGACAGGAGCTGCCCGTTTAGTCTCATGTATCTACTTCAGCTAAGAAGCACACTCTTCACGAGTATCATTTTATGTCCCATAGTCCTGTCTAATCGTTGTCTGAAGAGTTGGTCTCGGGATTGGTTTTAGTTTTGGGCTAACTGAGAGTCTGAGGGCCATGTCTTCTGGGGTCCCTCCAGTCTCAATCAAACCATTAAGTCTGGTCTTTCTACTAGAATTTGAGTTCTGCACCACACTTTTCTCCTGCTCTGTCAGAGACTGTCTGTTGTATTCCCTGTCAGGGTGGTCACTGGTGGTAGTCAGGCACCATCTAGTTCTTCTGGTCTCAGGCTGATGGAGTCTCTGGTTCATGTGGCCCTTTCTGTCTCTTGGGCGAATACTTTCCTTGTGTCTTTGGTGTTCTTCATTCTCCTTTACTCCAGGTGGGTTGGGACCAATTGATACGTCTTAGATGGCTGCTCACTAGCTTTTAACACTCCAGACTCCACTCACCAAAGTGGAATACAGAACATTTTCTTAGTAAACTTTGTTATGCCAATTGACCTATATATTCCCAGAAACCTTGGTCCCTAGACCCCCGCCCCTGCTACTCTGTCCCTGGAAATGTTTGGTTGTATTCAGGAAACTTCTTAGCTTTGGTTTAGTCCAGTTTTGCTGACTTCCCGTGTACAGCGTGCTGTCCTTCCCTAAACCTAAGATAATTCTTGTCTACTTTGTAGTTAGTAAATACCCATTTTCCCCCCTCCCCACCCTTGTAACTATCAAAGAATGTGTTCTTCTGTGTTTACACCTTTTCTTGAGTTCTTATAATAGTGGTGGTATACAATATTTGCAGGCCTGGCATGATGACTTCCAGATTCCTCCATGTTATAAGATGTTTCATGGATTCATCGTTGTTTCTTTATTGTTGCATAGTGTTCCATTGTGTGAATATACCATAATTTGTTTATCCATTCGTCGGTTGATTGGCACCTAGGTTGCTTCCATCTTTTTGCTATTGTGAACAGTGCTGCAATGAACATAGAGGTGCATATGTCTATTTGTGTGACAGCTCTTATTTATGTAGGATGTATTTCAAGGAGCGGGATTGCTAGATCAGATGGTACTTCTATTTCTAGTTTTTTAAGGAAGCGCCAAATCGATTTCCAAAGTTGTTGTAACATTTTACACTCCCATCAACAGTGTATAAGTGTTCTGGTCTCTCCACAACATTTATTATTTTGTGTTTTTTGGATTAATGTTAGCCTTGTTGGGGTGAGATGGTATCTCATTGTAGTTTTGATTTGCATTTCTCTAATGGCTAATGATGGTGAGCGTTTCTTCATGTGTCTGTTAGCCGCCTGAATGTCTTCTTTGGCGAAGTGCCTGTTCATATCCTTTGCCCATTTTTTAACTGGGTTATTTGTCTTTTTGTTGTTGAGGTTTTTCAGTATCATGTAGATTTTAAAGATTAGACGCTCATCAGATTTGTCATAGCTGAATTTTTTTACCCAGTCTGTAGGCTGTTTT